CGAAACGTTTTTTTGTTACACCTACCGTTATTGCCACCGAAGTATATGGGCTACAGTGATAATTTAACACCAGTTACAAAATATAAGTCGTGATTCAATAAAATAAAAAAGGAGTATTTATTAGAACCAACTCGTATGTCTGTCTGTGTGTCTATAACAGACTTTTCCCAGGTGTTCCATGTACATAAATGAAATTTTTACAGTTAGGTTAAAAATTCAACTTGTCAATATAGGGATTAGTTTTGAGGGGTAAAAAAATTTTTCGAAGTAATAATAATACTTTATTTTCACAACTTTCATAACTATCACATTTATAAATAACTATTCTATGATCTATACCTAGTTCACAAATGATGGAACATCTGTCTGAACTAGAGAAATATATATATCAGAAACAGAAACAGAACCTTTTTTTATTCAATGTAGATTATAAACCAGTGGTAAATGAAAAAAGTAATTTTTTTCATTTACCACTGGTTCGACAAAAAAACCTCTGTCCTACGATGAACCAGCAAGAAACCCAGCGGGATTATTTTTTTTTTTCAAATAATAGCTTACAATCATGTTTACAATTAACAAAACAAGACAAATTAGAAATAGCTTGGTAGCGATCACCCTTCCCAGGGGTTATTATCATCCATAAATTCCTTAATATTATAATAAACCTTTTCTACAAACATAGTTTAATAAAATTTTTGAACTTTGCGTATGACAAATTTTGTATATTTTCTGGGATTTCGTTGTAAAAGCGTATACATCGCCCCAAGAATGAATTACTGACTCGGTGGAGTCAAGTAACTGGTACTACCAGCTTGTGTCTGTTCCTAGTAGTTACAGAATAAATCACTTAATTTTGCAAAACTACGTTTATTCTTGTGTACGTACATGACATTTTCATAAATGTATTGAGAGGCCAGAGCTAATATATTAATTTCCTTAAATTTTTGTCTCAGTGACTCTTTTGGTTTTAAATTATATATATTGTTCTAATGGCCCTCTTCTGTAAAATAAATATAATTTCAGTGTCAGTCGCGTGTCCCCATAGCAAAATACCATACGACATGATGCTATGGAAATAACTAAAGTAAACTATTCTAGCTGTTTCAACACTGGTAATAGTTCTAACCTTTTTTACAGCATATGCTGCAGAACTAAGTCTGCTAGCTAGTTTTGATATATGGGGGAGCCATTGAAGCTTTGCGTCTAGTGTGAATACAAGAAAAATGGTGGTATCAACAGGACTCAGTTCTTCCCCATTTAAAATTGCATTCGTATTAACATGTTTGACATTAGGAGTTACGAATTTCATACATTTAATTTTAGATAGATTAAACCAATTGACTAACTTAACTATAGCATTATTTACTTCATTGTAATTCCCCTCAGCCACCGAATCCCGAGCGGGCGGTAAAGAAAAGTAGTCTCTAATTATAAGTTTTAAGGTTTAAAGTGCTGTGGGTGGGTGCGGTCGCACGGGACCGCTTGGGGGCTGAGGGGTTAATAACTGTCGTGTTCTGTATCTGTATTTCAGATCACAGTGCTCTTCCTGTCACATATTAACAGACTAACATAAGTATAACTTAAATAGAAGGTACACAACAGATAAAATGTTACTCTTAAACATAACAAAATGTATTTTAAAAAGTATTAAGTTCGAATCGTCATTTCAATAATTAATTATTTTGTATGTATTTTATTTAGCATTTTTCCGAATAATTGCTTTTAAGTTGCTATCCATCAACAAATCTCCGAGAAAGACGGTTCACAGTTCATTTTATTACGTGGTAGAGCCATGCTGCAGTTATATTAGTAGCATAGTTGTAGCACGAATGGGTCGGCTCAACCGGGGAAGGACCGCGCTCTCACAGAATACCAGCGTAAAATAGTAGCTTAATGCTGCTGTGTTTCGTATGGTGAGTGTAGAATACCGAAGATCCTTTTAACTGGAAACGAGGCATTCCACCTCAAGTCGTCATCGATGACAACGCATCTGCATTTTGATTCGTAATCGAGGATAGATGTAGATGTCTATGGGCCACAGCAACCACTTACCATCAGGTGGACTGTGTGCTCGTTTATCATCCTATCCTATAAAAAATACCGAAAACTAAGGCAAAATGCTTCACAGCCTGTTTGCTATCTTACCCTTCACAGCCGGCATAACTATAGATAAGTTTTTACTACTACTTGGAAGTAGAAACAGCCAAAATTGATGATACCAAGCTACCAACCTAGACGAACTCCTAAATTGAAACTCTGAGATTGAAAAAAATGTTTAGTACAAGAAGACACTGAATGAAAATAAATTTTCTAAAATGCCTATCCAAATTTACTTATAAATATATATTTTCTAGTAAATATAACTAAAATGATTTGTCACACTAAGCGTGATTTTCGTTCAGTGTGATTTTGTTGATAAAACTGATGCTCCCGAATACGTGGTACACGCCGTGGCACACCTATTTATAAGTTCCAGAGGATTGTTCAAAGTTGAAATTCCGTTGGTAGTCGCCAGCCGCGCGCACCAGCCGCCGCGTCTTCGCGTCCCACCTAATTTTGTTTCTGGATCAGCGTGTCCTGCATTTTAATCCAGTTCCGTAGAAAAATACGTCCAGTTAATCCTTCGAAGTGTTATATTCGGTGTGTTATTATTAAGTGCATTTTCTTGATCACATCGTGTCTCAAACACTACACAGACAGCAACACAAATACAAGTGAATCGGCGCAAGAATTAAAAGAGTATTGAGATTTTTTAAACGCTTAATTCTTTAATTACAAAATTATTGTATCTATAGTATAATTTACAAGGTTTTGTTTTAAAATGATTATTATGAAATGAATAATAATTTAAAATTATTTTTATTCCATACGAAATTATTATTATTTTCGTTTTTCGTTACTAACGAATACATGGGAATGACTACATATTATATTTGTTTTCAATATATTTGCAGTGAATAATATGTAATAGTAGATTTAAATAATTTCCACCTAAGCAAAAAAATCACGTATTTTACTTCATTATAAAAATATTGCAGTTCGCCTGAATCTCTAACCCATAATTATATATTACTGTAGATATTCCGTGGTCATATTTCATTGAAATGACCAACTAATGTAGACTTTGGAAATGACGATTAGTAGATACTAAACTAATAGATAAATCATAAACCTATTCCGTCCATGTTATTTGTGCCTAACTATTTCGTTATCGTAAAATTGGGATGCGAAATAATCATTGCCAACTATTCCCTCCTATTGCACGCTATAACGTAGAATTATCTACACAGCGTATTGTTTTAGTCTCGGATGTTTCTTTAATTTGTGACGTTAGTTTCACTTTTTTCAATTTCAGAACACGCATATAACACTGTTTGGTTTCGTATTGTTTAGTCAAATTAAAAAGTTAAAAATAGATGTTTCATAAAAAATATTGCCGTGTCAACTACAGGGCAATATTTCATATAAATAATCGTCGACGTACCTACGAGAATCCACGTAATAGCAACTTCAAAAAGCCATTCATTCAAAATTAAATTATATTATGTTCCATACTGAAGAAACAATGAATTAAATGTTTAGACTCAAAAAAATATTGACCAATACTTCATATTGAAAATGAAAATAACTATACTTAAGAAACCTATCTAAATTATTAATACGATGGCTGCAAATGATTCGCTTGTGTTGAAAATAGCATCCTCAAAAGTAGATGAGGGCCAATAGCTAAAACATATTTAAAATTAGAAATTAATGAATTTTATTGTTTTTTTATCGAAGAGTTCAAGCTCAGGAATAGCTTTTGGTAGAAATATAAGGAGCATTATTCATCTCAATGTTAATTCAATGATAAAGAGCAAAGATCGACGAAAAAAGTTAAAAGGAATACAAATAGACTGACAAAAGTAGAATACGAAAAGACGCACAGATAATTAATCACTATAGTAATAAATCGTGAATAATCTTTAATACTTCTAATACCTTTACAAAATATATTAGAAAATTAATATATATATATATAAAACTTACTGCATATGCATATCAACGATAAAGATCAAATACCTCTTACGGTTTTAGTTGAAAATATTTTTTATCCAAAAAATATTTGTTATTTAAACCCTAATATTTTAATAAATATTATAAATACTCCTATTCGAGTTAGTATTAGAAAGAATACCAGTTGGGTTAATAGTATCTAAAATTGTTTGACAAAAACACGTTTTCTTTACCCTCTCTTAAATTTATTACGTAGTAGAAAAGAATTAAGGGTACTCGTTGATAGAATATACTTATGGTGTTATTATAATATTGGAGTGATAAACGTGCTAACTTGCCATCTTATAGAGAATGTCTACTGTAACTCACGGACATATGCAACCACGAACGAAGAAGGCCCCAGCTGCGTTTTCACGCATAAAGACTAAGATCGGATGCCTCCATCAACTTTGGACTCTATTAATCTACTAATCTAATCTGGAACAAATCAGTGCTATGTTTCGGTTTGAATTTTTTTATCTTAATATATATAATCTTAATATATATAAATTACGTGTCACGTTGTTTGTCCGCGATGGACTCCTAAACTACTTTACCGATTTTAATCAAATTTGGTCCAACTTGAGAGATAGGATAGTGTTTTGCTCATGAGTGATCCATAATTTTTTTTGCGAATTTAAGGATTTTTAATAGGACATGAAAAAGGGTCGTCGAAAATGGCAGAACAACATCTGCCTGGCAAGCTAGTTGAATATAAAGTATAGAATCAATAATTAAAAAACAAAAGTATTTTAATAAATTGCTTTTCATTATTATCTATAAGTATCCTTATAATAATTATTTATTAAATTTCACATATTGGGAAACATTTAACAGATATTTTACCTTTAAATTAATCCAATATGGGTTGGAAATTGGATGAATTAAATTTCAACAAAAAAGGAAACACCATCATCACAACTAACCAATCACGACTTTAACCCTTTCGACCACAGGCCGACACAATGCCGATCGGTAACGTAAATAAGGACACAACGCCAAGGCGGGACAGCTTCAGGCCACCCTGGGTTAAAGACAAAGACTCGGAGGCGCCGCCTGCGTGGACACAGAAGAAGTTGAAGCCGGTAGAAAGTACTACCCAGACAATGGATACGACTCCAAAGTCTCTGGAAGACCCAGCTCCCAAACTTTTGAAGCGTAAGTGTACTTCTTTACTATCTTTTATTCTGTACTATCTTTTTATTTTATTTTTTATAATAAGTTAAGATGCGCATTTGAGTAAAATGTCGCCCTAGTCGTTATTTGTGAGCAAAATTTTAAAAATTTTAGGAGCTATTTACTTGTTATTAAAAAGATATATCAACTAGTAAAAAATCTATTGATTTTCTATATAATCTTGATTCCATAACAGCCAATTCTAATTTTTCTTGATGAATCTCCCTACAACTTAACCACGGAAATGCGAAATAATTATTGATAACTTTCATCTCCTCATAAAGTAAGCATTATTTTATATTGCGATATTGACACGAATGGATAGGCAATTTATTATTGAACATTTTGATCTATTTAATTTGTACAAGGGACTAAAATTCGATTTTATAAAGAAAATATTTTAAAATTTGGGCGTATTTCTTACGCAATATATTGTAGCGAGAGCGCGTGGAGTGTAGAAGCACAGACGGACTGAATGCTCAAGGTCGTTCGCTAGGAGCTCAAGGTCGTTCGCTACCTATAAAAGTCCACTGCTGAACATAGGCCTTCCGCATTGATTGCCTCATCAGGAGGAATTTGGCATAGTTATCACACTTGACAGGCGGATTGACAACCGCAGTTTTTTATTATTTGAGGTGTTATCATCAGAAAGATCCTGCTGCCCATCTTCTGTTTTGATTTCCCTCTGTCGCCTCTTACGACACCCACGGGAAGATATGGGGTAGCGGATATTCTTACATTCCCACACTACACTACTACACTAAAAATATAAACAGAAAAAAAAATTACAAATATAAAAATATTAATCAATTGTTCAAAGAGATTTAATATTTTATTATTGAATTTGAAGTCAATTAAATTAAAACAATATATATATATATATATATATATATATATATATATATATATATATATATATATATATATATAAACTAATGAACTGTCTTATATTTTAACCAAATATTTTAATTAAAATATATTTATATTTTATTCCTGAAATTCCGAAAAATTATGTTTTATGTAAATAATATATTTCAATATTAATGAATATGTGATAATATATTTACAAGTTCGTTTGCCTGAAGTGATGACACGAAATAACGATGGCCGAATACACCAAGAATATATTTTATTTTGCAACAATAATGCCAGGGAGAACTTTAAAGAAATATTAAATGAGAAAATAGAACAACGTCAAAATAACAAAATCAATGCTCACTAAACTTCTTCTGATCCCAAGAAAACAACGAATGCCGCGTTATTATTGAGACGCTTGAGCGTTTTATTGAGATTGTCACCAAAAGAAGGTTTGAAACCGTCAACTGTAAGCGGTTATAGTTGTAGGTCGCTTCAAGATGCAACGCCTGGTGATTCATCGTACACAATATTAATATTAGATTGCTTCAAGGCGACGAACAAAGCTTGAGAACTAGGTTTTTCTTTTGATTTTCAAGATTTTGATTTATACTAAACCTAACCTTTTAAATTTTTAATTTTTCTATGAATATTATCGCTCCGATACATTCACAGCCGGATTTCCTACGGTGTCAAAATTGTACGACCGACGGTAGGCTCTTTAAAGGTAAAAGGGGATTAAATATACACATTAAACGATGCCATAGTAAAAGTATTTCGGCTTCACAGCCTATCGTAGAAATTCATGACTCTTCTGGTAATATACCTAATGACACAAATTCTTCACTTTTTTCGGAACAATTATACAATTTGTATAGTAACGTACCAGTGGTTAAAAGAATTCCCAGAGGTGCGAGGATGCAACTTGCTAAAGCATTACTTCACTATTCAAAATTGTCTAACGAATTGTGAAAAGAGTTGGCAAAAACTATTTACATTCGCGTATTCCCATTTTCATTTTAATAAAACAATAAATAAATCAATTACGTCTCAACTAAAAGAAAATTCTTTTCAAAATTTGGATTACCCGATTAATACTCATTTATCTCGACCTTATCCTAAATTTGATTTAAAAAAAGTAGTTGAATCAAAAGTAATGGACGGCGACTTAAAAAATGCATCCCGTATTCTATTCTCAGATGACATCCTCGCTCCTCGTAATGTCGAAAAAAATTTGAAGGCCTTCGTCAGAAACATCCTTCGGTCAATCCTTCCCAGAATTTACCGCTGCCTCCCAATACTTCTATGCAACCTTTACAAATTTCTGAAAAAGACACTTTAGACGCAATATTGTCATTTTCGAATGGCTCTGCCGGCGGCATTGACGGGATTACGCCTCAGCATCTCAAAAATCTTGTAATCGTATCTGCCGGTGACGCCGGTAGGGTACTTCTAAATGACATTAAAAATTATGTAATTTTATGCTTTCTGGTAATGTCAATCCCAATTTCATTCCCTACTTATATGGGCCAAGATTGTGTGCCTTCAAAAAAAAAAGGATAACGGTATCCGTCCTATTGCTGTTGGTTCTACATATCGACGCTTAACTTCAAAATTAGCTTGCAGGCACATAATCTCAAACCTTAAGACAAAATTTCAACCTACTCAACTAGGCTTTGGCACCAAAGGTGGCTGTGAGGCGGCGGTACATTCGGTGCGTACTTTCTTAACTAATTCCAATGCAGATGTTCTTCTGAAGGTTGATCTTAGAAATGCTTTTAACTCTATTGATAGGATAACCCTGCTGAAAGAAGTGGCTAACAATACCCCCGAAATATATCATTACGTTTGGCAATGTTACAGTCAAAATTCAAACTTGTTTTATCAAAACCATATTATTGAGTCTGCTGTCGGTGTTCAGGAGGGTGATCCATTAGGTCCAGCTCTTTTCAGTTTGGGAATTCAACCTATTATTTCAAATTTAAAATCCAAGCTGAATGTCTGGTATCTGGACGACGGTACACTGGGAGGTAAAGCAGATGACGTCCTTAATGACCTTACTCATATTTTTCACAATTTTAAAAATATTGGTCTTGAACCAAATACCAATAAATGTGAAATATTTATTTCTAATAATTTATCTAATTCTAACAGAGATACCTTAATTCAAAATTTCAATCAGATTTCTCCAGGAATAAAAACTGTCAATTCGGAATCACTTTACCTGCTCGGTGCTCCGTTGTTTTTCGATAGTATTAAACCTGTTTTAAAAACAAAGTTTGATCAATTTTTAAATCACGTTGATAAATTATATATTTTAAACCCCCATATTGCCCTTACCATTTTAAAATATAGTCTCCTTGTAATTAAATTTACATACTTGTTACGCTCAATTCCAGTCTGGAAATGTTCGGATATTTTAAAAGATATTGATAGTAATCTTAAAATTGCTTTAGAAAAAATTCTAAATTTGAGATTAAATACAATAGCCTGGAATCAAGCCACTTTACCTATCAAATTTGGTGGTATTGGTGTAAGAAATATTTCTAGCGTCGCATTGCCTGCTTTCCTTGCTTCCGTGCATAGTGTCAATGATCTATGTAACATATTAACACAATTTTAAATAATAAAGTAGACTTGTGCTTTCCTGCGGATATCTATGTAACACAATTTTAAATAATAAAGTAGACTTGTGCTTTCCTGCGGAGGCAAGGTAAACATGGCTAACGCTCTGTCCCGGCGAAAATGTCCCACTGGAAGTTAACCAACTAAAACAGTGGGATATTCCGTTGGTACGGAGTGTCCAGAAAAATTTATTTCAAAATTTATACAGTCAACAAGATCAGCGCTCGCCTTCTAGCTGTTTCGACTAAGAAATCTAGCCACTGGTTACATGCTCTACCATCAAGTAATCTCGGCACATTACTTGATGGGGAAAGCTTGCGCATCGCCGTAGGAATCCGGCTAGGAGTGGCAATTTGTCAACCTCACCAGTGCCCCTGTGGTAGCAGCGTCGATGAGTTTGGGCTCCACGGACTTTCATGCAAGAAAAGTGCAAGTAGGTTTTCCCGTCACGGTTCTTTGAACGAAATCGTCCGAAGGGCTCTTGTCTCCATAAATGTCCCCTCGGTTTTAGAGCCTTGCGGGATATTTAGAGACGATGGCAGGAGACCCGACGGTATAACTTTGGTCCCTTGGGAGAGAGGTAAAGCCCTAGTGTGGGATGCTACTTGCGTTGACACTTTGGCGGCCTCTCATCTCAAGGGTACCTCTTTTAGAGCCGGAGCGGCATCAGAGGCAGCCGAATTTAGTAAATGGCGCAAATATGAGTCTTTGAGAAATGACTAAATATTTGTGCCATTTTCGGTCGGTCCGTGGGGTCCGCGTGCAGTTAAATTTCTAAAGGAACTGTATCTACGACTGGTCGTCGCTGCTGGTGATAAGAGGGCTGGTTCTTTCCTCGCTCAAAGGCTATATATATAAGTATAGCTATTCAGCGAGGAAACGCAGCCAGCGTTCTTGGCACTATACCACGGGGAGCAGGTCTTTATGACTATTAAAATTCTTAGTTTTAGATTTTCTATATTATAGTTTCTTCTTTTATATCGTATTAGTTTTAATCGTAAATATTATAATTTTAATTATTATTTTAGTTAAGTTCATTATTATAATTTTTGTAATATATTATAAACTCTTTAAGTTACGAAAATAAACGAAGTAGTAATATCAAATGTTAAAAAAATTAAGACTATTGTTCTATATTTAGAATACTTTAGATAGCTGCTTATCTAATTTGCAATGACTGAAGGAATCTCCACCGTTGTGTTTAACTAAAAATCATAATACTCTGATAGTCGTCACGAAATAGGAACCGAAGTCCATTATCAATACGTTATTTATTAAAATAAATTAAAAAGTTAATTTTGGTCGTTTTGTAATGTAATGTCTAATGAATAATCTATGTACTTATAGATTTGATTGCAAATCAATTTTGATATTACGGCTTCCATTTTTTAATATGTTTAAAAATCTGTCGTCACCTTCGTTATATCGCATAATAAATGATCTTACTAGTAATTCGAGTAAAGTAATTCAAGAGTATTTTTCCTTAAATATCACAATTGTAT